TTTCAGCCTGGCAGTGGTGGTGAAAGACTTTCAGCAAGTCATAAGCATCTCAAGCCCTTTCTGAGGAGCAATATGATGCTGAAGTTCATGCTGATGGCTACTTCTTCCTCAATCGAGGATCTCTTTGCAGTACTTTTTACATATCTCATCACACACATTGATACCTTGCTCTTTCTTTGCTGGTCTGCAAGTCTATGCTTTCTCTCTTTGTTCCCCCGAAAACACTTGTGACCAGGCCCAGGTGTGTATTTCTTCAAATGATTACTGGAGACTGGTCACTTATAGATCTTATAGATCTATGTAGCTCTAGATCTGGAGTCTGCAGTGCCAAGCCTGTGCACCATCTCAAATCATCACGTGCATGTATTGCCCCCCACTGCATTCTGTGTGTTCATTTCTTCCACTATCATGTCAGGTCTGCAATTTTCCACCCTATGTTACAGTTGTAAATATCTCATTCTTCACAGAGTAGTTGTTCATTACTATTATTTATATAACATCTATGTTTGTGCTGTGTCATAAGAAAAAATTAATTACCTATAACCACCTTGTCATTAGAAATACTGCTGTTGCAGTTAAGTAAAAATAAAGCTCCAGGAAGGTAAAAAAAAAAAAAAAATTCAGAGAGCTTTAACCCTGGGGCCTTGCAAACTCAGTACAAAGCCCATGGCAATAGCAGTACTGTCTTGGGGGGGTACATGGTTACAGAAGACTGAGGGTAATACCAGAGAAAAAGGGAATATACTTGAATATTTTTTGCATAACATTTTTAGCTATATTTATGCTTTTTTGTGTTAATTAGTGTGGACTGTGACAGTTATTATTATTATTGTAACTAGGTTTTTTTGTATTTTCATCAGATTGTTAAGATTCTAATTAGCCTAATAAGATTCTGAGCTCTATATTTATCATGTGTTTTCTTCTGCTCACAAGAATTGAAGCATAAGATCTGATACAGCTAGGACTTCAAAATCTCTCTGCTCACAGATTCCAGCACCTCTCCAGGCAGCCTCTCCCAGTGTTTAACCCTTCTCTTGGGGAACAATATTTTATCTCCTTCCAGCCAAGATCTATCCTGTCACAGCTCAAGCCTATTGTCTCTCATCCTTTCACTGTGTGCCTTTCAGAGAAATCTGACCACACCTTTTATGTAAGCTCCTTTGGTACTAGGCAGATGTTAGTTGTCCCCTCCAAGCCTTTTCTTCTCCAGGCTAAATACCTTGAGTTCCCCAAGTCTCATCATCTGTCATGACCAGCAGTCCACTAAGTACCCCTGCAGCCCTTCAGTGAACCCTGTCCAGTTTCTATTTGCATATTCTATCCATCTCTCCCATGGTCCACCATGCAAAATTCAACACTTCTCAGAACAGGCTTTATTTCTAGTATTGACATGTCGATTAACAGAAAGGATGGGCACCGTATGCATGCATGAGCACAAACACTGCTGAAGTAATAAATGGAGTCTAAAATTTAAAAGACCAACATTAGTTTTTGTTTTTCCCATTTATTAGCCTTGAAGCTATGAGGAAAAGGAAAATGAGGAATCTCTTAGAAAAACTACTGCATATTCATGAAAATATTAGTAGCTTACCTTTTAAAATGCATTAATTAAATTTGCAGGAATCCACATTTCATATATTAGTTCAAAATGATGTATTTCAATGTTTCTGTTCTTTACTAACAGCCTTAAACTTCACACATGTATGAGACTTCTCTGTTTAGATTAATTCAAAAACAATTTTGAAATATTTCGGTTCCTTTAATGAATGGCATTGCTTCACCATGTTTCAGTGAAAAAATTAGAATCCCACTCAATGATTTGAAACCTCATTCATTTTCATCTGCTACCTGAGTGTTGTTTCTAAAACCATCATTACACTGCCTCCTTCTCAAAGGCAGCATTTCAGAGAACTCACTGAACACCAACACCTTATGAACTCCTCCCTGCAATGTTGTAAGAACCTCTCAGTGTATATTCCTGTGTCTCACGATGCAAAGCCCCAGAAGAGAGAGAAAAGAGCAATTATACCGTTGTCATGTTAAGATCTTGCACTCAGCACTAGTGAGTCATTACCCCTACAAACTGTCAGCCAGACTTTTATCAGGGATACAAATAACATTATGAGAGGCTATTTTAAATACATATCTTGGAATAAGGCTGCATATTAAAAAGAGGTCAGAATAGTTCCACATTTCTCTTTTATAAACTCTGAAAAGACATAAAAGGTGTGTGAGAAACACCAAAGTGGGCTTTGAAAATACTGCTTTTTACCACAGGAGTTCAAATGTGGCCCCTGCCCTGCTGGGAGGTGTCACCACCCGCAGCTTCCCATCCCTTTGTGGGCAGCCAGCCTTTGCTGTGCCCCAACAGCAGAAATTCACAGTGGTGTGGGTACCTATGTCCAACTTGTACCTCAGTACACACACCCCCTGTCCATTTCACCTTTTTCTAATGTATATTGATCTCACTTGATAACAATGAATCTGGGGTTTCTCATGAGTTCTTTGGCATAATTGTTGAGTGGCATTTTAATATACTTATCTACTGATCTATCAAAATGGTATTCTCAAAAAGGCTATTCAAAGACACACAAAAGAAACCCCAATAACTGAAAAACAACAGTAGTCTACATTTGTATGAGCCTACTCTCAATTATCATAAAAGAAAATTCACAGAATAATTTGAAACATAAATTGTACATCTTTCAAAAACAATTATAAAACACATTACATCCATGATCTGGAAGAATGTGCAAATTTGACCTGGAGCCCTAATAATTTAGAAGCACATCCTACACTCTGCACTTGTACAAAAGTAGCTTATATAAAGTAAATTACACTAAATTAATTTTTTTTCCTGTTACAGAGATGTAGAATCAAGGGTCATGCTACAACCTTTTACAGGCTAATAAAGGCTTTGATCAAAACCGATGCTTTTTAAAATGCACCATGCTCTTACTCTTTCATTGTACCCCACTTCTCTAAAAACAGACACCAATATGATTGGCTTGCTTCCTGAGTACTAACAAGGTGGATGATCCTTTGTATCTTCTTGGCAAAACAAGCAGTGTTAGAAGCAGACTAAAGTACATCCACTTCTGAATTAATGTCTGCAAACAAAGACGTGCGTTAATCCTGAGGGGGAAAAAAAAAACCAACCACCTTATAAAATGAATCCTCATTTTACCTTTTCACATTTAAGTATCTAATGTTCCTAAGTGTGATAATATGGAGGTACACATCTTCGTTTTTTGGTTGGAAAAACCTTGAGAAGAGATAAGGGACCTATATTAAGGGGTTGAGGGGATAAAGGCCAAAGAAATCTATAGAAGAAGATCTGAAGATCTAATGGCCTCTTTGTGAGCTCACTGGCAGTTGAAAAGATCACTGACTTCCACAGAATACTTGACTTTTTCAATAAGACATTGACCCATCTGTTACTAATCCAGCCCTACAATACACTACTTAGGGCTGTGTAGATGTCTTAACTAATTAGATAGATTTATTCCTATCAAAACACAAACATGACAATAGGCACTTAAATATATATATATAATATATATATATATATATATATATATATGTACAGGTATCTTTATTACTCTATTAGAACAATAACATTTATTAGTGAAAGATGGTTTTTGCTTCTTTACATCTTGCTTGGCTACAGCATTTTTAAAACACAAGTACTACAAACCCAAAAGAGAAAGTATCTGTCACAGAATCCCTGGTAGTTTTGCTTCTCTTCACTCTCAGGTTCTCAATCATTTCTGCAAGATAAACCAATGTGTTTCCTATTCTTGGAGGGAAAAGCTACCTGGGAAAACCCAGGCCCTTACAACTGTGTTCAAAGTCCACCCATTCCCTGCAGACATCTTTGGAGGCAGAGGTGCAAACATAAATGACTGCTATTACAAACCTCTCCTGCAACAGCACCTTATGCAAATTTTGTATCTAATCATCAAAACTTGCTTTTACTGTAAACTGTTCTCCTTAAGATTACTTAAAATGTTTTGCAGCAACTTCAGCCAGTATGCAAGCCAAGTGCCCAGCAGAATAAGGACAGCCCTCTGAACACACGACCTGGTGAAGTCCTGGTGTGGAATTTCCATTTGCTTATTTTAAGAAAAAAGTGTTGGTGATGGATCTTGAAAAGCTTAATTTAAAGCAGACACAGACATTTGTGAGATAGACATGACAATTAAGGTCAGCTGGGACACACGAGTTGCACGCAAGCATTTTTGTGACCACAGACATCTGTCAGTGTCTCTGTTCTCTGATTCTTAACAGTTCATGGAAGTTTGAGTCTTGGTGACCTTCAAAGCAAAATGCACCTATCTTCTTTACTATTTGATGAACTGATTTGTGTTTCAAATTCTCTTAAATGAGGCACCTATCTGTCAGGATGATAGGCACTGTACAGAACTTGCAAAGAGAAAAAGAACTATATAAAGCAATCAGAGAATTCTTTTATTCAACTGCTGCAATAAATGACAGTATCATTATACAATTTCTCCAGCTCCTCCTAACAAACCTGACCTCTAGAACTATATCACATGATTCATCAATATTGTGGATTCAAATATTTTTCAAAAACAGTTCAGTAATATCTTCCTGCAGTGATTTGCAGCTCTGGTCTTGGGCATGAAGAACTGAAGATTCTCAAAAGCACACACGCACATCTCACAGCTCATTCCATGAGGACAACAAAAGAGATGGTGTGCACACAGGATCTATACAGTGTTTTTAACTCTCTTTATTGTAAAATATTTTTGTAGAACAAGTAAGAAAAAAACATATTTAGGCAACAGAAATAACTGTAACACTTTCTTACAGTCAGATGGAAATTGTGCACAACCATGTTCAAAAGACTTGGCATATTTAATGAAATTTAAGTAATTCAGTAAGCGTTTTCCCATTAACAAGCTGGATTACACAGAGACAAATAGGGGGACAGTGTGCAAACAGAAAAGCAGACCCAGACAGGGGTGTTCCTTTACCTGTTGCCTCTTCTCAAACTCCAGCTTGATACGGGATTTGATGCAGTTGCACGTGTCCTGATACGTCTGCTGCAGCGCCAGCTCCATGAGGTGTTTGTGGTAAGCTCCGGCCAAGTTCCCGCAGATAAAAATTATTACATTTGCCAATATCTAGGGGGATTCAAAAAAAAAGTGTGTCAGAGAATTTACATAAATATATTAACAGAAATTAATCCTAGCTTGCAATGAAAGATTGCTGCAGTTATGCATTTTGGTTTTGTTTGTTTCTAGCCAAGGTTAACCTTTCAAAAAGCCTTTAATATTTGTGGCAGCATCCCAAGCAATAATAGAATGACAGAATGAGTTAGGCTGGATACTGTTTTAATTTAGGATTAAACAGGAATGAAAATTAACAACATGTTTGCCTACTCAATGAGGTACACGTTTTCTGAAAAAAGAATTTCAGCTCATGTTAGAGCTCACTGCTGAGTATTAATTAGGTGGGATCATCACCTACTCATGTAAAACAATAGCTATGGCTCCAAATAGCAATATTGGAAGCCGTGTTATTGCTATGCTCTTTTAGCAACGTTTTCTTTTGCAGTGCCATATGATTAAAGGGTGAAAAGTTTCACCCACACACATGAAAAGCCTGACCTACATTTTACCTCAGCCTGATCCACTGCTATCCGTCAGTCTGCTATAAATAGTAACCTTGGTGACGATAAGCAGTGTTTAAGGAGCAAGATCTGACAGCTGCCTACTAGAATATACTTTTCCTTACTACCAAAAAATTACATTTGCCTAAAACACAGAACTTAAAGATTTAAGATTCAGGTGGTCACACTTGCAGCATCAGATGCCCTCTGCAAGCAACAACCCACAAAAACGAGAAATAAACTTGCTCAAAAAAATCCAAGCCTTTTTTGCACTTGACCTTTGAAAAGGACATAATATGGTGTGATGATGCTAATAATTTTAACTGTACCCAGCTTATTGCTGCAAATAAACACATTTATCCATTCAAGCTCACTCAGAGCAAAAGAAACACAGTAATGAAGGCAATTCCTAATTCAATCATAAAAGTAATAATCAAGATAATATTAAATTGAAGTTGAGATACAGCTGCAGTCTGCTCAGAGGTCTCTCCTTGTAAGGCCCTAGTGTACCATATACCCTGGATTACAAGCACTACACGATGTCGTACTACTCATAGTCTGTAAGAAAAGGAGGAAGAAAGGGGGCAAAAATTTTGTTAACTCTACACAGCTAATCAAATAATGAAGTTTATGATAGATTTTCCTGGTGATCATTCATGGGTTGGTTCTGGTGTACCTAGGTACCAGGCAATCTTTTGGGAATTGCTAGTGGTGAAAGAGACAGATCAGAAAAAATGTCCAACAGTGTGCTATGGTGGTTCAGAGGAAAAAGACATATTGTCCGATTACAGAAATCCATCTCCTTGTGGAATACATTTTATTCCTAAAAAACCTCCCATGGAGTTTTACAGTTTCTTTAATAAATAATAACTTTAAAATGCAAGATTTAAATATATGCTTTATTTTCCATACAGATTTTAACATCATTAAACTTGTTCCTCCACCTGTGACATTTCTGACATCTCACCTTTCACAGCTCCACAAAGCTAAAAGCAGGAGCTATTCACCTTTAGTGCAAAAATGATCGATGTTTTCAATTTGGTAGAACATTTTTCCTTCCCTAAAACTTTAAGCTCATGGCATTATAATGTTTCTAAAAGTAATATATGAGTTCTTAATTTTTTCTAAAATAGATAAATCTAAAACAAGGGGGAAAATCTACATATTTCACTTTCTCTGAAAAGCGTTTCTGTTATGAAGTAGAGAAATAAGAAATAGTTTAAATTAAACATTTCACAACAGCTAATAATCTAAAAAAACCCCACTAACATATAAGATCATGGTGTACAGCAAAACATTTGACCTTAAAATATTTTATATTTCTTTGTAAATCACAATTGCTTGATTCTGCTTTGATGTCAATGGACATGGATTAGTGAACAAAGGTTTTGTGTGACAGATCACAGTACAGGGGTAAGGGTCTTCCAACTGGCAATGGTTGCTGGGGTTTAAAATGAAAATATAAATTAGGAAATGCTTAAAAACAAAGACTGCAGGGCATAGAAAATGCTGATATACGTAGCAGGAAGGTTTAGTAATAAATGATCACTGAATTGAACTGAGATCAACAGTGTGCTGTCATAATCTCTAGGTAGATGTCACTGTTGAAAGTCTGCACATACACTTACTTAATTAACTGTCCAGCTTCATAAAGTTATAGACCATTTAAAGCAAGACTTCAGGAATATAATCAATCAAAATTTTTAAAAAATATACTGTAATGGGTTGATGGAGGAGTAAATTATAACTATCATCTTCACAGTCATAGAAAAACAAATTACAGTTTTATGACTGAAGTAGCTGAAGTGAGAAAATAGATGGAAACAGTGAGTGACAGGCAAGGAAGCTAATTAACCAGGCTTTTCAGATACTCAGTGGGGTAATTCAGCCCACATGAAGCTCTGCAATGGCTTCCAGTACCTGAATTAAGCAGTTGGAAGACAGTGCAAGGTATCTCAGCCACTGCCATACTTAGTGTAGATGTAACAAGTAAAAGCGTAAGTGAATATGCAGGTAGAAACTCTGTTTAAAACACCCTGATTCTTTAGGCTAGCATGGAGTTCATTTGCAAATGTGTCACTAAGGGATAAAATTAAAAACAAAAATCAACAAATTAATGAACTGCTTTCTAAACAGATTTTTTTTTTTTTTTGCCTGTATTTATTCTGGCTTGAGTGAATATTTCTGCTATTGAGCGAAATGCATCCTTTCAATAGCAAGTGCAATTAACATTACTGAACAAAATAAGCAACATTATATACTTCTTCCTTAGTATCTGTCCCTTCCCAAGTCTGCATTTTCCTTTTAATAGCAGCCCAGTTTCAACATGAGCTGGACATGAGCTCCATCCCAGACTTCTAAAGTCTCATAGGCATTCTCCCAGAAGAGACAGGTCCAAAGTTTTGCTCAGTCCAAAAAAATTAACTGAGCTTCCCACTTCTTAAGCAATCTAATCAATATGCAATCATACAAAAGGTTTCTTCTCTTCAGGCACCTGCTCTGAGAAGATGCCATGCTGTGAATTCTACCAGTACCAAAGCACTTGGAATGAAATCCTGAGTCAGACCAATCTTCTACCTTGTCATTTCTCTAGGGTAGAACTCTGCACTGTCTTTTCCCCCATTATTTTTTCCCCACCTCATCCCTTCCTCCCCCCAACCCTAGATGTGTATTAGGTAATAAGAAAAGCTGTGGTAGATATTCTGGTAACAAATTCTCCATTTTTCTGTGATAGCTGTAATAACTGTGCAGATAAAACTGCAGCAAAGAACCTCTGTAGAGAATTCAGGAATCAACGACACAACATGGTTAGGGATTTCTCCCAGGAGGATAAGCCTGAGCTGTGGAAAAGAGTGTAACTAATGATGGTAACTCAATAGCAGAAAAAGACCAGGGTGACCTCAAAGACAGCATTGCATGAACCTGGTTCACACCCTTTACAAACAGGCACTGTATGACCAAAACCCAAAAATCCCACAATATACATAAGTTCTACTAAGCTCCCACTCAATTCACCATATGGAAACACTGAGCAACACAGCAGAAGTTCCCATCTCTCTGTACCGTCAGAGTGGAGAGAGAGGCAAATCTATCTCGTGGGCCATCTGCATCCCTTCAGATATATCCATTAACTGTACACTGTGCTGAAATTTCTGTTTTATCAATGAATGAATTCCACGTCTACAGAAAGTGATCTAAAAATGAGTCAAAAATTAACACAAGGAACACCAAGATACCATGAAGAAGTATCTCTAATCACTTAAGGAACACAATCATGGCTGACGTCTCCTCAGTCTGTTCTGACCTACAGAAAACTCTGTGTGCTTCCCGGCAACGGGGAAATTTTACATTCAAGCACAGGTATTTTTTTTCAGTATCAGTGAATATCAAGTAATCAGATGTCTAGTGCTTCACTATCAAAATAGACTGTATTTAAAAGCAAATGAAGACAAAGTTAAGTAGCTATGACTAATTTCTCAAGAGAGTACTACAGTTCACTGAGTTGCTCAGAAAAATGTAGTACCTCATATATAAGCTCAACTGATGAAAACTACCCACAAAGGTATATGCCTACGAAGAAGTACTATGCTATATAAAAATAGAAGAATTACAATAAAGACTGCTGATTCTGATTGAAGCATAAATAATTTGTTAAATATCTTAGAAACTGCTGTTCAAATACTGAATATGAAAATTAGAATCCTCCATAGATTTTCCCTGCATTGAAAGCTTCCAGTTTGAGTTGTATTGCCGCATTTCTTTCCTCTTGGATATTTTACATATCCTTCCCAAATACTGCATGAACAGAATTTTTAACTACAACAACAACAAAATCAACACAAACTATAAACAATTTTTTCAATAGTTAAATTTCACTTTTCTTCTGGATAAGAAAACTGAGGACATGAAAGCTGAGGGAAGGGCAAAATTGGCTATTATTTATGATGTCTGCATGGAGATTAACGTGAGAAAAAAGAATTCTTATGTCTTTGCCTAAGTTCAAATTCTTTAGCTCTTGCAAAGATGAATCATCTCTCCCTTCATTTGATCTTTCATGTGATGATGTGATGGATCTTTCATGTGGTGTGGCCAGCCAAGTTGTGGAACAAGTCTGTACTGCTTTGGAACCTGTAGAGCTTTAGACTCAGACATAATTCAGCTAAAAACAATGGGATAAATACTGGGTAGAATTGAAAAGCAGCATTTTAGAAGGAAATGTTTAGCCACTACGTAAATTAGTTATTCACTTGGTCACCATGAACTATACCCAATACCATTATTTTAAGTAGATGTATTCAGAAGTTTCTATTCCATGAAAATCTCTTCCACATGGAGCTCTGGCCAGTTATACAATGTTGCCTTTTTTCAGATTTCCAGACCTATAGAAGTCCAACATTTGAATACATTTCAGTGCCAACAACATTTATAGCTATGTCACAGCTCACAAACAGGACAGCAAATTTGAAAATGGGAGAACTTTTGTCATACAGCAACCTCTCTTTCAAAAACAAG